CAGCTTCGAATACAGCAGAACTCATGGTAGAGCTTTCTTCTCTTACCCATGTATTTGGCATCACTGGGGAACAGAGACTTAAGTACCATAAAATCTACGGCCTAGGACTTTGTGGAATGGGGGCATAAATGACTTACCAGAAAGGTCCCAGCCCATGTGACTACCCTTTTGGCATTTGAATTTGGATCATTTTCATCAACTGCTCAGAGAAGGTTGCAGAAGAGACCAGATAGCATTTGTCAAATCCTACTGCTATGTCCCTGGCTTTGTCCAGACACATCTGGAAAAGGATATCTCCCACCCAAACATCTGGACAAGCAGACCTGGTAAGAAGTCTGTAATAGCTCCTAGGAGGGAGGGCCCAGCAAGCTAGGTCCAGGCTCAGATGGCCAGATCCTGAGATCTATGGGGCAGCTTGTTTACAAAGCCTCACGGGTTCACTGGGGACAAGCCCCAGGAGCCAAGACACACTAAGAAACACGACCTTTGTTCCCCCCAGCTTGATAAAGCGTCTCTTTGGGTATTGGGTTAGCCTCGCGCACGTCACTGCCTCTCAGCCTGATCCCTCCGCTGGGACCATCTGTTGGAGGCTGACGCACCCATTTCAGGGCAAAGCAGTGCTGCGATCCCTTTTTCCAATCTCCTGGTCAGCTTCTCCCTGTTGTATTATTTTCCCCCACTTCTCCTCTCCCCATATCTCAGAGGCAAACCTCACATTACAGTTTTCTTGGCCCCAACATTATGTGTCTTTCCCTCCTTTGAGCCTTACAAAAGCCCATCTTACAGATGAGAATGCTGAGCTTCAGGAAGCTAAAGCAGCTTGCCCAGCCTACCCAGCTGCTAAGGAGCAAAGCCAGCAGGGAATCCGCATCTTCTGGCTCCACTTCAGCATTGTTTCCCTTCTAATTCCTACTTCCTGTCTGTCTGAATAGCCTTCCAGACCCCTTATTTTCAAAGTTCCCAAGAGCCCAGCCAGAGCTCCCTTCCAGCCCATGATCTGGCCCTGACAGTGGGAGGAGGTGTGGGATTCTCTTGTCTGAGAATCTGAAAATGACACAGATTTTCATGGACCCAGAGAAGATACGTTGACCATCAAGAGCTGTTCCATAGGCCTCTAGTGGCTCCTGGCCAGAATTCTGGGGCAGTCTCTTATAGCAGAGAAGCTTTCCAGGTGGTCCCGACCACCCTCAGTGCTGACTTCCCCTGGGAACTCCCCCGTGGAACCCTTGCAGATGACCCTAATCATTTTGTGTCAGCCAAAGGCAGAATCACCATGTTCCAAATGAACGGATCTCAGAGAGAACTGAGTCCATTTGTAAAATGAGGAAACTCAGAGCGGAAGGGATCTTCCCCAGGTCACATAGCAAATTAGAGGAAAATCCAGAACTACAGTCAGTTCTAGTGTCTGGTGGCTTTTTTTTTTTTTTTTTGAGATGGAGTCTTACTCTGTCACCCAGGCTGGAGTGCAGTGGTGGGATCTCAGCTCACTGCAACCTCTGCCTTCCAGGTTCAAGTGATTCTCCTGTCTCAGCCTTCTGAGTAACTGGGACTACAGGCACGTGCCGCCATGCCTGGCTAATTTTTTGTATTTTTAGTAGAGACGGCGTTTCACCATGTTAGCCAGGATGGTCTCCATCTCCTGACCTCGTGATCTGCCTATCTCGGCCTCCCAAAGTGCTGGAATTACAGGCATGAGCCACTGCACCCGGTCTTAAGTGGCTTTTAATCTGGGGCTTTTGCCAGTGCACCCCATATATTCATCATCCCGTCATGTAGATCTTGGAGCCAGTACTTTTTGTTCTATACTGCACTTCCACATCTATCTGTCTAATTTATTGCACAATAGCCCTGTGAGTGAAGTATTATTTGGGCCACTTCACATTTAGGAAAAACAATCATTTTACAGGTGGAGTGACAGACACTGGAGTTAAGAATCACTCCAGTAAGTCCAGTCTTCAGACTTCTGGTCTTTTCATTAGACCATGCTGTCTCATAAATATGTTGCCCCCCCCAACTGAATGGTGACCGCTTTGACAGCAACATTTACTGGAAGTTACTTTGTATCAAAGCAGGGAGTTATGTAACTTTATGTACATTACTTCATCAAACCTTATCCTGTGAGGCAGGAATGCTAATGCATTCCTATTTTGAAAGGGAGAAAACTGAGGTTCAGAAAGGTGTAAAAGTAACTGGCCAAAGTTAATGGTGGTAAGATTCAAACTCAGGTCTATCTGACTCCAAGGCCACCACCTTATATTGTTCAGGAAGAGGACCCTGATCCAGGGTCTGACATGTGGCAGGTGCTCATTAGACATTTGCAAAGGGAGAGGAGAGGCTGTCCTCTCAGTTTAGACTCATCCTGTGTCAGGGGGCCAGGTTCAGATGAGAGCTCTGTGGGTAAGTTTCACAGATGTGGCAGGACTGCCACCAGGCAGATGCCCACAGTGACGGTGGAACACACTCTGCTTTTTACTCTTATGTTTCTGAGTGTAGGGGATTTGCGCCCTGCCCCTAACCCCGAGAGACTGGCTGCCTCCGTCCTGCAGCCCTTGTCAGTGTTTATCTGCTTTCTGTGTACATGAAGCTCTTCTTCCCTGAGAGTTCCCTGAGGGCAGAGGCTGAGCAGGATACATCTGGCCCCCCTATGCCCAGCCCGGGGTCTGGGCCACAGCAGGCATCGTTCAGTGCTCCCTGAATTGAAGCATTGATGTCTGCTGGCGGGGAGGGCCCTTTGGTGAGTGCTACAAAGAGGCGTCTATAAGTCAGCCTCTGCCAGATGTCCAACTGCTTTCTCTCCTCAGAGGGGTCTGCTCCTCTAAGGACAGTGTCTAAAAATGGGCTCTGTATATATAGGAAATGCTATATGTATAGGAAAAAAATGCCTACTGATCCTTTATGCCTCATGTGAGCAGTTGCCCAGATGCCACCATCTTCAAGAAGCCCTCCTTGCCATCTTTGGTTGACAGTGACCTCTCCTTGCTTAAGTGCCCTCACAGCCTACAGTCTGTCTCCTTTCCATCCTGTCCATGGTGTTTTTATGACCTGGCAGGTCACTGACTGGGCTGCAAACTTGTGGAGGACAGAAGCCAGCTCTGATCAGCCTAGTTCTCTGGCATCAATTTTGTGCCTCTGATCTATGAAGACCCAATGCCATTGAATTTGAGACCCCGCACCAACACCACCACATGGTGCTGTGCCCTTTCCTGGCCCTTAACAGGCACAGGCTAAGATAACTGCTTCTCTAAATAGCAGTTTCTATTAAACAGTTAAGAAAGGCTGATATGTTGCATAGCGAATTGTATTATACACCCTAAAAACAAATGTACAGGATGCAAGAGGAATATCTATTATGGCATTTTCCTGGGATTTGTGACTGAGGCAGGATCCCTGGATCTCAGAAAACTGGAGAGCACTAAAATTACAAAATGTCCTCAAAAATATCCCTAAGAATTCCTAAGAATTAACTGGGCCCGACACACTGGCTTATGTCTGTAATCCCAACACTTTGGGAGGCCAAGGCAGGAGGATCACTTAAGCCCAGGAGATCAAGGTTGCCATGAGCTATGATCATGCCAATGCACTCCAGCATGGGCAACAGAGTGAGACTGTGTCAAAAAAAAAAAAAAGAAAGAAAGAAAGAAAGAGAGGAAGGAAGAGAGGAAGGAAGGAAGGAAGGAAGGAAGGAAGGAAGGAAGGAAGGAAGGAAGGAAGGAGGGAAGGATTAACTGAATTCCCCTCCAATTCTGTTCTAGAGAGTCAAGTCTGGATGAGCCAAGAGAGATGAAGTATCCCTTTCTTTTCCACTGCTGTCTTTGTTTTACTGATGGGGAAACAGACTCAGGACAGACTCTGTCAGGGAAACCAATGGCCCAAGACCACGTAGTGAGTTGGTGGCAGATTTGGGGCTGAGACCCCGGTCTTCAGACTCCCAATCAGCCCTGCAGCTCTTTCAGGGTGCTGGGAATCACATGGTGTGTGCCTAAGCATGTGCTGTGGTAAGCCCTTGACATACTTTACCTCATTTGGTTTTCCCAATACTTCTATGAATTTAGTTCTATTATTAATGCTCATTTAACAGATAAGTAAACTGAAGCTTAGACAGTTCACAGAACTGCGAGGTAGCAGAACTATACAAGTGCAATTTGTTCGACAGGTTTGAAGCAGGTCAGACTGTCTACCAGGAGCTGAAAGACACTGGCAGCAGGGGGGCACGATAGGAGGCACACTGGAAATGGAGTCTAGGCCCTTGCAAGTCGCTTATTATTTTTTTCAATACTAAGACCCTAAATCCAAAGTCCAGTTTGCTCAAAGGAGGACAAGTTTTCTTCTTCCTGAAATAATTTGTGGACTACATGAAAACTACATCCAAACTAGGATAAAATTGGGAAAGAATAGGGTTACTCTGCATCGTCAGCAGATTTCGGACAGGGGCTAGGGTACCATCAGTCTATGAGAGTTTTCTAGAATCTCCAGGGAAAACTCCTTGCCAGTGGCCTCCCCTAGGCCACTTCAACCGATAGATGATAACCCACTAGCCACCAGATCCCCCGTGCCGGCATCCCCAGCCCTGCACGACGGAGAGCGCACAGGATCCAGGCACTCGTGCGTGTAAAGGCACAGCCCACACACGCCCCACACGCCGACACCTGTGGCCCCGCGCTCACCCGCCTCTGCCCAGGCGGTGCTGGAGGGCTGGCCTGCCTGCTCGGTGAGCCCATCGGACCGACCCCCACCTCGCTCGCCCTCCGCGTGCTCAGCCTCCGCATCCCGGCCCTTACCTCAGCTCGCCCTCTTGGCCCACGTCGATGGGTCCATCGGACTCACCGTCAGAGCCGCTCGGCTCCTTGGGTCGCTTCATGGCGAACGCAGGCTGCCGGGTCTCAGCCCCGCGGCTAGGGCTCCCAGTCGGGAAGTCGGGCCCCGCCCCGGCCCCGCCCCGGCCCCGCCTCAGGGGCACCGCCGCCGCCCTTTCCCAGGGCCCTTTCCTGCGCCGCAGCCCCGGGCGCCCAGGCGCCCCTTCGCCCCCGCGGTGACGCGCCGCCGAGCCGTGGGAAGGCCCTGGGCGGTCGCCGCCTTCACCGACGGCTGGGAGGTCCGGCCGTACTCCGCTGTCTCGGCTGCCGCGCGCTGGGTGGCCTTGGGCAGGTGCCCTGGGAGGCCCGGCGGGGAAGCCAGGAGTCCCCGTCTGTCCCTGGGTCACCTGGGCGCTGCTGGCCTGTAGAGGCGCCGCTTCGATGCCTGGGATTCCGCAAGGGTCAACCCCGCGCGCTCCTGCCTCCTGGTGTTCTGGAGGCAGCAGACACATCAGGTTTGTCGAGGTTAGTCGGGGTGGTTGGGGCCTGATCCTCAACAAGAATTCCCCAGCAGCTCCTCCATAGGGGCCCGAAGCAAGTGGAATAGTGTGGTGGGGGCAAGGGGAAGACACACTTCTGAGAGGTGGCAGTCACCCCCAAAAGGGACGGCTGAAGTTGTGGCCACAGCGTCTGAGAAAGCTGGGCTCTGACCGAGGTCCCTAAAGGCCTGGCTTGGTGGCAGTGGTGGGTTGTCCCTGGGAATCAGTTCCCAGTTCCCAGTTCACCAGAGGTCGAGTTGTCCTGGGCGGCCAGGAGGCCAGGAGGCCAGGAAAGGGCTCCTTCTAGACGCTCTGGCAGGGCCTCAAAGTGGGAGAAGGAGAGGAAAAGGGGAGACACCCTCCAGCCTCTCTTCCTGGGGCCTCTGCTTCTGACAACACACCAACCTGTTCACTCAGGGAGGGCTCTAGCTGCCCTGTCCTTAGGGAGGGGGACTCGTGGGAAGTTCTCAGATTCCACGGGTCATCCTCAGGCACCCAGTACCTCAGAGAAGCTCCCAAGGCTCCAGAGGAAGCTGCATGAGAGCATCCTGGAGGTGGACTTCTTGGGCAGGGAAGAGGAGATAGAGGAGGTCTTGGTGTGCTGGGTTAGACATGAGAGAAGTCTTCCTTTTTGCCCGCTACCAGGTCAGGCCCTGAGGGAAGTCACCCTTTCAAGTGGGAGAATGGGGTTGGTCATCTGAGAATAACTGTGCTTCCACCCCCACAGCAAGGCCTGCTTGCTGGGGGACACTTGATTACTTAATGGGAAAGAACGTTCCTGTGCCCCCTTCCACACACATCCACAGACACAACCATGTGGCCAGGTATGCAAACACATACACACAGACAGACTTACGAATACATACTGGTAGGCGCAACTGTCATGAGCGATCAGTAACAGGAAGCCCTGGTGGTCGCCCCAGCCACAACTGTGGACTCTCATTCCAAATGCCCTCAGTACTCACATCACTTCCGCAAGCACATGCCAGTCAGTGGAAACCTCAACCAACAGAGGAGTTGCACAATCCATGCGCTATGCATTCCCTGGAAAGGCAGAAGTCAAGAAAGCCTCCTGGATGTCTGCCCTGTGTAATTGACTGAGATAGCAAAGATTGGAAGAAAAGCAGATTTGCAGGGGAAGGTCAAGGGCTCCGTGGTGGACGTTTCATGTGAGATGTCTTGGATCATCAAAATATAGTGCACAGTTAAATAGAGGGTCTGGAGTTCAGAAAAGAGGTCTCAGCTGGATATTAAATTTGGACGTCATTAGGTAATTGATGGCATTTAAAGCTATGGGAGCAGATGGGATCACTCAGAAAACGTGGATGGAGACAGAGCAGGAGCCTAGCTAAATACTTAACATTTGGTGAGCACTTATTATAAAACCTGAAACTATTCTAAGTGTTTTGTAAATATGAACTCATTTAATCCTTGACAACTCTATAAAGTAGTAATATTATAATCCCCACTTTACAAGTGAGAAACGACGGCTGAGAGGTAGAGTAACTCTATCTAAGGCCAACAGGCAATAAATGGAAGGGCTGGAATTTAACAAGGCAGTTCAGTTCCAGAGCCAAAACATTAGGCTTTATTACCTTACACAGCACTCCCCCTTCTTTTTAAAATAAAGACAAGGTTTTGCTCTGTCACCAGGCTAGAGTGTAGTGGTGCTGTCATAGCTCACTGAAACCTTGAATTCCTTGGCTTAGGTGATTCTCCTACCTTAGCTTCCCGAATAGCTAGGACTACAGGTGTATACCACCATGCTCAGCTAATTAAAAATTTTTTTTTTGCGGGGCACGGTGGCTCATGCCTGTAATTCCAGCACTTTGGGAAGCTGAGGTGGGCAGATCACGAGGTCAGGAGATTGAGACCATCCTGACGGTGAAACCCCATCTCTACTAAAAATACAAAAAATTAGCCAGGTGTGGTGGCGGCCGCCTGTAGTCTCAGTTACTCGGGAGCCTGAGGCGGGAGAATGGCATGAACCCGGGAGGCGGAGCTTGCAGTGAGCCGAGATTGCGCCACTGCACTCCTGCCTGGGCGACAGAGCGACTCTCCATCTCAAAAAAAAAAAAAAAAAAAAAAAAAAAAAATTTTGTTTTGTCACTATGTTGCCCAGGCTGGTCTCCAACTCCTGGGGCCAAGCAATTCTCCCACCTTGGCCTCCCCAAGTGTTAAGATTACAGGAGTAAGCCACTATACCCAGCCAATTATGCAGCTCTTAAACATTGTGATATATTATGTAGTACTGACCCTAGAGCTATGCCATCAATATAATAGCCACGAACCCCCTATGGCTATTAAGTACTTGAAATGTGACTGGTCTGAATTGCTATATGTGCAGTGAGTATGAAATACACACCAGAATTTTTTTAAGTGTCAACTATGTCACTGATATTTTTTGTTATGATTACATGTTGCAATGATAATATTTTATAAATATTGGATTAAATAACATATATTAGTAAATTAACTTCCCTTGTTTTTTTTTAGGTTTTTAAAAATGTGACTACTAGAAAATGTTAAACTGCTTATTCAGCTCCCATGATGTTCCTGTTGGATGGTACTAATCTGGTGCAGGATTTCTTAACCTCGAGACTACTGGCATTTTGGGCCAGATCATTCTGTATTGTGCAGGGCTGTTCTGTGGATTGTAGAATGGTAAGCAACCTCCCTGACATCTACCCACTGGAGGTCAGTTATACCCACTTCAGTTGTGACCATCAGAAATATCTCCAGATAAAATACCAAATGTCCCTTGGGGGAGAAATCGCCCCCAGCTGGGAACCACTAGTCTGGAGAAACTCCAAGATTTAAAGGTTGTAGAAGAGAAAGAGCTGCCAGAGAAGACTGAAAGGGCAGTGGCCCAGAGTGGAGTGTGTGTGTGTGGGTGTGGGCAGGAGCCAAAAGAGTGTTTCAAGGACTTGGTCATGATCCTTTTAAATGCCAGTCAGATCATGTCACTTCCTGCTCAAAACTGTCCACATGCTTCACGTCCCATTTGAAATAAAATGCCAACTGCTTACCATGCCCTATACACAGAATGGCTGTAATAACCTGGGCACCCACGAGAGTGAAAGGAGGCAATACTAATAATCATGCCAGGACAGTTGAGGGCACACTTGAGGTACCATCCCCTAAGCTCGGGCCCCTGCCCATCTCTCCAACTTCATCCCCAACCACTTTCTGCCTTGTCCACCCACCCACGAGAGTCTTCTTGCCATTTGGATTGGCCATTCTCACATTGCAGGGGCCAGAGCTTTGGGCGATGAACATATAGCAACACATATAATGTAATGTTAGTGATATTAATTGATGCTGTGAAATAAGATAAAGTGAAGTAGAGACATAGGGTAACTGGGGGATTGGTGGCTATTTTACTTAGGGGTCAGGAGATCCTCTCTGAGGATGAATCATTATGCAAAGACCCGAATGGAGAGCGGGAATCTGAGAAGATCTGAGGGAAGAGGATTCCAGGCAGAAGGAACAGCAAGTGGAAAGCCCTGAGGTAGGAACAAGCATGGAATATCAACGGAATGGTGATATGGTTTGGATCTCTGTCCCCATCCAAATCTCCTGTTGAATTGTAATCCCCAATGTTGGTGGTAGGGCCTGGTGGGAGGTGAGGGAGGTGGATTTCTCATGAATGGTTTAGTCCCATCCCCTTAGTACTGTTCTCATGATAGTGAGTTTTCACGGATCTGGTGTTTAAAGGTGTGTGGCCTCTCCCCTGCTTCCTCTCTTGTTCCTGTTTTTGCCATGTGATGTGCCTGTTCAACCCCTTTTGCCTTTCACCATGACTGGAAGCTCCCCGAGGCCTCCCCAGAAGCAGTTGCTACTTTGCTTCCTGTACAGCCTACAGAGCCGTGAGCCAATTAAACCTCTTTTCTTCATAAGTTACCCTAAAACACAGGGAGGTTAAGTAACTTACCCCAAATCACACAGCTACTAAGTAGTAGAAATAGGATGCTACCCAGGCAGTCTGGCGCCAGAATTCATGCTGGTAACCACTGCATCCTGCATTAGAGCTGGGTGGACCAATCAGGAGACTCTTAAAATAGGCCAGGCAATAAGGACTGGATTCGAGTGATACTGGGTTCCTGTCTGGGTGACTGAATGGATGAAGGTGATGAGCACCAATGGGAAACACTGGAGAAGGGAAGGAGCTCACTATGGACATGCTGTTTGTGAGACCTAGGGCACACCCAAGAGGAGAACCCAGGGAGAGGTCTGGGCTGGGGTAGAGATTTGGTGGCTGAAGACATGGGGTACATGACATAGCTATCCCAAGGAGCTAGTGCAGATCCAGAAGGGAGGGGAACCTAGGCTAGGACCCTGGGAAACAATAACCAAAGATTCTCTAGGAAGAAGGAGGAGAATCCTGCGAGAATGGAGCACCAGGGACCAAGGCAACCAAGAGCTGAGAAAAAGGGCTTAGTCACCAGTCCAGGGGCTCTAAGAGGAAAGAAGTGTGATCAGGAGGTCACAGATGCCTTGGGATGAATGAACAGAGGCAAGGGAGGCAGAGGCAAGGGCAGGATGCCATGGACTGGGAAGTGTCTGGGGTGGAGGGTTGCAGAAGCAGGTTTAAAAAGGGGGCACGTCAGCCAGGCACAGTAATAGCCTATAATAGCAGCTACTCAAGAGGTTGAGGTGGGAGGATCACCTGAGCCCAGGAGGTCAAGGCTGCAGTGAGCCTTGATTGCACCAGTGCGCTCCAGCATGGGCAGCAGAGTGAGACCCCATCTCTAAGGGGAAAAAATAAACAGAAAAAAGAGGGGCAGGTCCATGAGAGAGGGCACCCCACGCAACTCCAGGGACCAGTAGAGCCTCAGGAGGAATTTGCTCACTGATAGAGAGGGAGTCAGAAGTAAGGAAAAGGGTGAGAGGCCCAGGAGTAGCAGGCAGCCTCAATCCAAAGGGAGGGAGGACGAGACGGGCCCTCTATTCTACCCTCTGCTCCTTTCTCTCTGTCCCAGAGCTGAGCGAGCTGGAGATTTTCAGCGACGGGTTTCAGTTGCAGCAATACTTTCTCTATCACTGAGCCCACACTAGGTCAGCCCCGTCTGCTCTCGAGGCTGATATTCACATCACTAAACTGATACGGCCTGGGCTCTGAACGGTTGTCTTGCACATAGACTATACACTGGAACAGGATTCCAGAGGCCACTGCTGGGCAGGCACCGAGCTTCTAACTGCTGCATGGTGGAGATATCTGGGGGGTCTCAGAGGAGATGATTGGCATGGAGATGCCCAGGGTGGTGGTTGGTGGTTATTAATTGTGGAATAGTTTATGTCTGTCCTGGCCCCTAGAAAAACAGCAGAGACATACAAGGACTTTCCCGGCCCATGGCCCGGGATGAAGTAGGGGGAAGAAGGGGCCTGGAGCACTCAGGTGCCACTCAGTCTTCCCTCTGCAGGACCTTGTCCTGACTTTGAGCCTAGGGACACTGAGACCCAGAGAAGGACAGAAACATCCCCAGGGCCACACAGTGAGATAGAAAGTGAGCCAGGACAAGAGTGGCCTTTCCGTGCCTTGGTTTTCTCATCTGTAAAATGGGATGATACCAAAGCCACTCGCTGTACAGGGTTGTTGTGAGGGTTAAGTGAGGTAAGATGCAGACAGCAATGCCTGCTGTGGAGAGTGGGTGCTCTAATGTTATATTTGGGTTCGGCCTCTGTCTCCATCCATTCTCTCCCTAGGTGGTTCACCTACTCCCTGGCTTTTCCTTCTGTGAGCAAACGATTCGCTAATTTATATCTCAAATACAGACTTTTTTTCTCAGGTTCAGACCCATAGATCCAACTGCCCAGTTGTTTTCCTTACACTCATGTTGGTCCACCCACATGGCAAGACCTAGCCGGGGTGTGCTGGGCCTGTCCTGGACCTCTGCAAGCTCTCTGTGCCACGCCCAGATGTCAGGCACCCATCACCACTTTCCTGTTCCCTGTTCCATCCTGAGAACAGTCTGAGCCTCCTTGCTTCCCCCTCCCCCCACCCCCTGCTCATCCCAGGCCCTTCCTGTCCTCCCCTTGCCCTCCTCCCCCGCTCCTCTGGGACCCATCGGGCGCTCACTTTCCACCTCCACAGCTGCTGCCACAGCTGGTCACTGACGGAATGTGCAGCTGCTGGGAGCCACATGTGCAGAGCAGGCGGCACACAAGCTACCCCTGGGGCTAGCGAGGGTGGGGGCTGGGACCATCTGTCTGTGTCTGTCTGTCTATAACACACACATGCATGTACACCCACACACTTCCAAGCTCCTTCTCTAAGTAAGGTGATAAACATGTTGGTTTGGTTCCCTTCCCTGTCCCTGGGCTGCAGAGTTCATGCTCTACTTATCTGGGCCCCTGAGAGCAAAGCAGCTGGGCTGGCCCTGCTGTCTTGAAGCTTATACACTCCCACCCCTACACTGAGGCAGTACAAGTCCCGCAGGAGCCACGCAGGGGCGGAATGGCAGACTGGGTGTTCAGAGCCTCCCTAGCTTTCCCAGGCCCTGGGGGGTGGCCCACCATGGAGGAAGCCAGAAGCTTCGGGTACATTCCAGAGTCCCCTTGGCAGCACCCAGAGGCTCTGGAGGCGTGGCAGCCTGTGGGCAGGGCCAGCAGCATCTGTCCTGGTTCCCACAGTCTGGCCTCTCTGGAATCTTGCATATTTCTCTTCCGTGTGTGCGTGATGTCAGCAGGACAAGGACACTGGGGGAGGTGGGAGGGGAGGGACTGAGCTTCCCGAAGTCAGATGGCCATGGGGGTGGGGGTGGGAGCTGGGGGAGGGCCTGGTCCCTGCCATTGGGCACACAGTGCGAAGAAGACGCCCTGGCCTCTAGCTCCTGGGCCTGACCCAGAGGGACAGCTGCTGCAGGCTGTTGGGTAATCATGCTCCTTGCAGCAGGTTCTCTCGAAGGAGATGTGAGTTATGCACTCTCCTGGCAGCCACAGAGGGTACATGTTTTGCAACATCACCCAGCAAGCAGGTAACAAGTTCATAGCCTTGGGCTGTGGCTATATTATTCTCACATTGGGATGAGCTTTATACCACTTGGAGCTTCATAGGGCTTCTAAGGGGAACTTTGCCAGAGGAATGAAAGAATGAAGATTCATGGGTAGGTGGGTGCAGCAAACCACCATGGCACTCCTTTACCTATGTAACAAACTTAGGCTGGGCGCAGGGGCTCACGCCTGTAATCCCAACACTTTGGGAGACCGAGATGGTTGGATCACCTGAGGTCAAGAGTTCAAGATCAGCCTGACCAACATGGTGAAACCCTGTCTCTACTAAAAATACAAAATTAACTGGGTGTGGTGGTGCATGCCTGTAATCCCAGCTATTTGGGAGGCTGAGGAAGGAGAATCACTTGAACCCAGGAGGCGGAGATTGCAGTGAGCCGCGCTCCTGGGTTCAAGTGGCACTGCAATCCAGCCTGCATGGCAGAGCAGGACTTTGTCTCAAAAATAAAACCCCCCAAAACCCTGCACATTCTGCACATGTATCCCGAAACTTTAAATTAAATTTTAAAAAAAGAATGAAGATTCAAATTGCTATGGTCTGAATATGCCTCTCCAAAATTAATATGGTGAAACCTAATCACCAATGTGATGATATTAGGAGGTGGGGCCTTTGGGGGGTTATGAGATCTTGAGGGTAGAAGCCCATGAATGGGATTAATGTCATTATAATTAGTGTCCTTATAAAAGAGGCCCCAGGCCAGGTGTGGTGACTCACACCTATAATCCCAGCACTGGGAGGCTGAGGCGGGCTGATCACCTGAGGTCGGGAGTTCGAGACCAGCCTGACCAACATGGAGAAACCCCGTCTCTACTAAAAATACAAAAATTAGCTGGGCGTGATGGCGCATGCCTGTAATCCCAGCTACTCGGGAGGCTGAGGCAGGAGAATCACTTGAACCTGGGAGGCAGAGGTTGCAGTGAGCCAAAATGGCGCCACTGCATTCCAGCCCGGGTGACAAGAGCGAGACTCCACCTCAGAAATAAATAAATAAATAAATATTAAAAAAAAAAAAGAGGCCCTAGAGAGCTGGCTCACCCCTTCCACCATTTGAGGACACAGCTAGAAGGTACCATATATGAACCAGGAAGGGGGACCTCACCAGACACCAAATCTACCAATGCCTTGATCTTGGACTTCACAGCCTCTAGAACTTTGAAAAATAAGTTTCTGTGATTTATAAGCCACCCTGTTTATGGCATTTTGTTGTAGCAACTCAAATGAGCTAGGGCACAGATTAAGTCAGGTGAAATGTGGTGTTTCAGAGGGAATGGCACTGAATTTAGAGAAACAGCCTGTCATTCAGTTTCCTTTTTGAATCTAATTGTGTGTGTGCTCAGACACGTCACTTCCCCTCTCTAAGACTTAGTTTCTTCCTCTGCAAGATGTGGATGAGAATATTTCACTCGTGCCTCCCCTGCCCAGAACAGAAAACAGTGGAGTGAGGGGAACCAGTATTTTTTGGCTCTGTAAGAAACAGATAGTTCTGCTTCTTAGGGAGGTCCCCATTAAAACCACTCCTCAAATGTATCCCCCAGAGGAACTCAAATGACAGAAGATGATTTGTACTACCCTGAGGTTCAGGGGGACATAGCTCAAGCAAACTTAAGTGTAAGCTCAACATTTCTTTTGTGCGTTTTATCTGTAAAATAACATGAGAGAGTCAGTATAATGTAGCGCTTAAGAGACACGCTCTGGGCCGGGCATTGTGGCTCACGCCTGTAATCCCAGCACTTTGGGAGGCTGAGGCAGGAGGATCACAAGGTCAGGAGATCGAGACCATCCTGGCTAACATGGTGAAACCCTGTCTCTACTAAAAATACAAAAAATTAGCCAGGGGTGGTGGCGGGCGCCTGTAGTCCCAGCTGCTGGGGAGACTGAGGCAGGAGAATGGCATGAACCCAGGAGGCAGAGCTTGCGGTGAGCCGAGATTGCGCCACTGCCCTCCAGCCTGGGCACACAGGGAGACTCCACCTCAAAAAAAAAAAAAAAAAAAAAAAAGAGACACACTCTGGAGCCAGATAACTTGAGTCTAAATAAAGCTCTGCCACTTATTAGCTGTGGACCTTGAGTTAGTTACCTTACCTCTCTGAGCCTCAGTTTCCTCATCCATAAAATGGGGATGATAAGGGATAATAATAGTATTTACCTCATAGGGTTGTTGTGAGAATTAAATGAATGTATGAAGTGTTTAGAACAGTGTCTATTCCATTCACTATTATGATGCGAATTTGTAATTTTATTCCTTGAGTTACTTGTTTATAAAAATAATGTTACCTTTTTTTTTTTTTTGAGATGGAGTCTTGCTCTGTTGCCCAGGCTGGAGTGCAGTGGCGTGATCTTGGTTCACTGCAACCTCCACCTCCTGGGTTCAACCAATTCTCTTGCCTCAGCCTCCTGAGTAGCTGGGACTACAAACACATGCCACCATGCCCAGCTAATTTTTGTATTTTTAGTAGAGATGGGGTTTCATCATGTTGGCCAGGATGGTCTCAATCTTCTGACCTCGTGATTCACCTGCCTCGGCCTCCCAAAGTGTTGGGATTACAGGCTTGAGCCACCGCTCCTGGCCAAAAAATGTTTCTTTAAATGACCTGTTGGCAAATAAAACTGGCTACTAGTAAGCACAAGAGAAAAACAGAACACATAGGCCTCAGGTCATGGATGAGCTTTGCAAGTTGAAAAGGGAGTACACACGGGAGGAGAAAGAATTATGTCTGTGATTTCTTTATCTGGTTATGCCTTTGTTTTTTTGTTCCAGCTCCAAGCCACAGTCACATCTGGATCACATCATGGGGCTTTTATTCCCAAATCCAGTCCAAGACCATGTCAGAAAGTAGAGGATTCATTTATGGCACCAGAGGCTGGGGCTGATATCCAAGGCCTAGGAAGGAGGGGGTGTTGGGATGCCGCCCTTCCCCCACCCCCACCCCCACCACAGGTCTGGATCGATGGGGTGTGCTACTAGCAGGCCAAAGAGGGCAAAGCTGGGAGAAGCACAAGCAGTATTATCCCCAGACAAAGGGAGTCACAAAGATGAAGTCACTCAAGTCTAGTCTTGCCACGGGGCAGAAGAACGGTTAACATAATGTTGGGGGCCCCAGGTGTACCAGACTGATGGAGGTATAATAATATGTGGTAGCCAGCTGCCAAGATGGCCCCTAATCATCTCCACTTCCTGATATTCACCTCCTTGGGTAGTCCCCTCTCACCTTGTAACAGGGTTTGTCTGTGTGACCAATAGAATATGCTAGAAGTGATGACATGTCACTTCCAAGGCTAGGTCATAAAAGATGGTCTGGCTTTTGCCTTGCTCTCTCTTGGATTACTCACTCTCAGGGAAGCCAACAGCCATGTCATGAGGACACTCAGGTAACATTGTGGTGAGGAACTCTTGTCATCTGCCAACGGCCATGTGAGTGAGCCATCTTGGAGGCAGCTCCTCCAGCCCTAGGCAAGCCTTCCATTGACTGCAGCTCCACCTGGCAGCTTGACTACAGCCTCACGAGAGGCTCTGAATAAGAACCGCCCAGCAAAGCCACTCTTGGATTCCTGCTCTGCAGACACTTTGAGGGGCAGGAAGATCCTGGAGTGTAGGAAGACCCTGGGGTGCAGGAAGAAGAATGATGTGAGAGTTGGAGTTATCCCCTTCTTCCTTCATCTCACATCCTGTCTTATCTTTTCTTCCCCCGCTCCATCCCCACCCTTGGTGGTTCCAGATGGGAACACCAAGTCCATGTGAGGAGCCCTGTTGGGGGAAGCTTGCCTTCTGATGGTCTCAGGCTGCTGTCCATTGCGGAATCTCCCCTCAGGGTGGTTTTCATGTGGTAGGACAGATTCTACAGAAAGACCCCAGCTCTAATGGATAAATTGGGTCCCAGGCCTGCTCATTACCCACATCGCCATTAGCATTTCATGAGGGGCCATATGCCAGTTTGTGAATACAATTATGGGGAAAAAACAAGACAATGTAAGTTAATTAAAACGCTCTCCATTTATTTGAATGGCTTTTAAGAAGCAGAAGCACATGTGGTAAAATTAAGATATAGGATATGCATGAGAAGTGACAGGGACCCACACTGACAAGCACTCAGCACCCTTTATCATGTGACCAGGTAAATGCTACAAAGAGCCAGACAGGTCTGGATCGATGGGGTGTGCTACTAGCAGGCCAAAGAGGGCAAAGCTGGAAGAAGTACAAGCAGTCTTATCCCCAGACGAGGGGAGTTACAAAGATGAAGAAACACATGCTCTAACCATTTACGGAGGCACTTAGGTTTATCATAACAAACAACCTGGAGAGGTTGGGTGATGAGGAAGACTGAGGCAGCAAATGCTATCAAAGCAAAGGGCTTCTGACAGGTAGATACAAGCAACACTATGCGTACAGTTTCATTTTTCATCGTGTTCTATATTGGAGGTTACTGACATGCTCTCAAGTAGAAACCAGAAACTAAGTATATATGCGCTATTACTTTAATAAGGAAGTTTGTAGGCCAGGTGTGGTGGCTCACGCCTGTGATCCCAGCACTTTGGGAGGCAGAGGCTGGCGGATCACCTGAGGTCAGGAGTTCAAGACCAGCCTGGCCAATATGGTGAAACCCCATCTCTACTAAAAATACAAAAAATTAGCTGGGCGTGATGGCGGGCACCTGTACTCCCAGCTACTCGGGAAGCTGAGGCAGGAGAATTGCTTGACCCCAGAAGGCGCAGGTTGCAGTGAGCCAGGATTGTGCCACTGCACTCCAGCCTGAGCGACAGAGCAAGACTCCGTCTCAAAAAAAAAAAAAAAAAAAAAAAAAACTTTGTACATATGCAGTTTTGAACACACAAAGGCTGAACTAGATCATCTCTGAGGTCTCTTAAAGATCCAACAGTGAGAATCTGAGTGTAATATCCTCAGACTCTCAGTGACTTGGGTCTTAAAAACCCAAGTCTCTGGGCCTGGGCCAGCGGAAGCAAACTGGAGATCCGAGGGCCTGATCTTGCCTACAGAATATGTTTTATTTGGCCCGGATGGTGTTTTCTAAATTCAAAATAGTTGTCAGCATTTAAACGACCATATTCCCAGCTTCTCTTCAAAAATGGGGTGGACTATCTGGCAATCTCAGGCCACATTCCCACGTGGCAGCAACCATGGCAGACCACAGCGTTCTCCATTCTCACTGAAGACCTGGCTTAATCCTCTCCACTCATTTATGTTTCCTGCTTGGCCTCTGTAGGCATTGGGGTTTGTGACCCCGGCCCAGGCATCCAGTCTAGGGTGACCTCAGTGATTTTCTTGGTGGCTTCTTTGCGGCAGGTAGCTACAAGACTAGCCTTGAGGCCTTTACCTAATTCCGTGGCAGATGGCCATGAAGGCATATATTCACCCACAGGCCAGGAGTGTGGGAGTCAGTGACCCCAGTCTTCACAGCTTTGGTTTGCCTTACAGAGGCTTTCACTTTGCAAAGATGAGTAACTGCAAAGTTCCCAGACACATTTCACTTTTATAAATGGAATTCCAAAGGCCTCTAGGGGATGGCCCATCAGGGAGATACTTCCCAATCAAGGTCAATGGTAAGTCACTTCTGGGCCACATTAGAACACTCAAGCAGAGGCAGAAATCTTTGTCTAGGTTGGGCAGGGCTTGGGGGGGAAGGAAGGCAACTTTCCTAGCCATGGCCATGAGATGACCAGGGCATCTGTATACAGTTGGCAGGTTGTGCAGGTGTCTAAGAGGTACCACCCATGTCACAGTACCAATGGCGCCCTCTAGATTTTTGCAGTGCATAATCTGCCCAACTGGACATGTTGGCCTTGGCACTGTTAGGGGGAGGGAAGAAACAAATGGAGATGATGAGGCAGGTGTAGTCAAAAGGGTTGTCCTTACACAGATTCGACCACTTCCTTCCCAAGGCTCAGGAGTAGGGGTAGGAGGCAGAGGGTTAGGAGCCAAGATTTTCTTGGCCAGAGGTTGGGGGCTGGTCTCAATGGCCCCCAAGCTGCACATATGCAAATACCCATGTTATGAAGGAAATGGGTACAGCTATTCTAGGGCTGGCCATCAGTATGTGGGTCCCAGGACACTCAGTTAACAGAGATAACCATCTGTACACATAGTGAGTACACACACACACACACAGTCGTTGGCTGAGATATCTGGCCCATTACACACACCCACATAAATACATGTACGTGTACGATTTTTATCCCGTTGCACAAACTTATATGTGTGCATACATACACACAATCACAGTAATTGTCGGCAAGAGCAATCGGCTGTCACTCGAGCGTGTTTAGCAAACATTTCCACAGCACCTGAAGTCGTTTTTGGCTGGCTGGAGCGAACGGTGGGGAGAGTCCAGCACTGCACTAAGTCACAAGGAGAGAAAAGTAAATCAGTGGGTAGAATCATTTGACTACTGCCAGCAGCTGTGTGCCGGCCTGCAGTGCCACCTACTGGCAGAAAGGAGGTGGTTTTGTGTTTTGCTTTAAGACTGGATAAAACCCATGGCCCGCGAAGCTGCCAGCCACACCATACTATTCATCCACCTCCTTGCGTTCTACCCGAGTCAGGTGAGACTCTGACATCCTCAGAGTTGTGTCATATCCTCAGAGGATGAACATTCCGGACCTTGTATGCCTCCTGGATAGCAAAACCCAACGCCAATAGGGATGGCAAAATAGGTTTCATCGTTCACACCAGCTCCAGCCCACTGGTAATGGCTGCCTGGAATGCTGGATACGGAAAGATTCTGAGACCCAGTCTGGGCTTGGTGGAGAAGAGTATCATGATGGCATAGCGACAGCAATGATGGCTGTAGATGGGGCATCTTCCATACTCTCCGTTCTTGCTGTGGATCCCGGAAGCCTGGTAAATCTCTTAACTTGCAGGGTCCTAGAATTCTCCTGATCCACAATTCCATTATGAGGGGTATTTGTGTTTATTGCTCACATGCCTTCAAGCCACAATAAACTGCCGCTCCAGCTGTTACAGGAGTTTTCTCTCGCCCATGATCAGTAACTTCTGAACCAGCTGAAGTCCTCATGGGACCCTCTTCACGACAGACTTGTTCTTGCTTTCACAGAAAGTACATGGATGACCTTGTTGGCCCGGAGCCTCTGACATCAACACTGAGCACTTCAAGCTATCCAAAACTCATGTTTAGCTAATAATGCCCATCCACCTACCAGGCTCATCATTGCCTAAGAGGCCTCATGAGGAAATGAGTTGGGAATACAAAGCCATGCTGGACAGCCAGCTGGGCTCATCCCCAGCCAAGGGCCCTGCTCCTGCCCTCTCACTCATCAGCTTGGGAGAGCACACCCAAGTCAAATCCGTGCATCGACAAAACTGCACATTATCATGAACCATGGGTCGCTTGAAAATAGTCAAAACTTGGAATCTTCAGATGGGCATGGAACCCCCATGTCCCTTCCCCTTGGCAGTGGAGCCAACCTCCGCCCACAGATGCATAGGTGGATGTGACCTGGCTCGTCCCACTGAGGCGTCAGCCAGGCTGTCTGCCTTAGCCCAGAGGTCTGCCCATTTTTCTGTAAAGGGCCAGATAGTAAATATTTTTAGCTTGCAGTCTCTGTTGCAACAATTCAACTCTGCTGTAGCAGTGAAAAATCAGTCATAAACATAGGTAAACAAATGGGCATGGCTGTGTTCTAATCAGTTTCTTTTCTTTATCTTTTTCTTTTCTTTTCTTTTCTTTTTAGATGGAGTCTCACTCTGTTGCTAGGCTGGAGTGCAGCGGCGTGATCTCGGTTCACTGCAACCTCTGCCTCCCGGGTTCAAGCGATTCTCCTGCCTCAGCCTCCTGAGTAGCTGGGACTACCGGCATGCGCCACCACACCCAGCTAATTTTTGTATTTTTAGTAGAGATGGGGTTTCATCATGTTGGGCAGGATGGTCTCGATCTCTTGAACTTGTGATCCACCCGCCTCAGCCTCCCAAAGTGCTGGGATTACAGGCGTGAGCCACCACGCCTGGCCCCAATCAGAGTTTCTTTACAAAAACAGGTGATGGGTCAGATCTGGCCCATGGGCCCAGAGTTTGCCAAACTCTGCATTAGCCCGAAACAGGGGGCTTCACACTGGGTTTCTCAGAACTTGGGATTGTTTGAAAGTGCTTCCAGGTGTTTGCAAATGTTTGGCTCTAATTTAAATTATTTTTAGCTGTTTAGGAAGTTATAATAAAAGCACCCACTCAAATGTATTCCAGCATTTCACCATGCAGGAAATCAACATGCTAACTGTTGGGTAAGTAAACTCCTTTAGTGAAGACCTCAGAATGGAGCTTCTCTGGCTATCTCCATGCATATGTATGAGCAGTATGACAAAATGGTTGAAAACCTGGGTCCTAGCATCAGATGGACATGAGTTTGAGTCCCAGCACTGCCACTTACTAGCTCTATGGCTTTGGGCAAGTTACTTTACCTCCCTAAACCAGCATGGCCAGGACACCACAAAACAGAGTAGACACTAGCCATAGTGCCACTGCGGCCTCCTGGAGGCTGCATTGTGGGAAAAGGGAGCGTTCACAGTGGAAGGGTCAGCTGAGACCACGAAGAGACATTCAGGGGACTCAGCGCAGCATTATTTACCAACTGGTATGGAGGTATTTCAAGATTTTAGTCATCAGTTTGGCGGTACTGGTGCACACAAATTGAGTGTCATTATAATGCCAAATCCATCTTGGCTTTGAACTTCTTGCTAGCTTCTGTTTTTTTCTGGCATATTCTGATATATCCCCACTACTCTGATTGGGCTCTCAGATGGAAGAGGGGGATGTTTTGCAACTGGCTGAGCAGTCTCAGTGCTTCATAACAGGGCCTCCAGTTTTCAGCTAAGCAGCAGTCCCATTGGCTCTGGGATTTTGCTGGCAGGCATCTCCTGGAACCAGTGTTCTGCAGGGCTTGTTGGGGAAGTGGTGCTCTCAGCTAAAGGGGTCCAGTGTTTCAGAAGCCGTGGCTGCTCCGCCTCAGTGCTGCATTCCCTGGTTAGGCCTGGGACTTTGGTGCTCACCTGGCTTTTTAATTTCCTGGTGACATGACACTCAGTGTTCCTCATCCCTGGGCACCTCCTCACCTCTAAGACAATCAGAAGGTCCGTGTAACTGCTGCCTGAGACTGCCACCCCAGATTTTTATTCCAGCGACTGAAAGCTTTTTTTCCAGGCCTGAGATGCTCGTTTGTGATTTCAATAATAGAATTTAGACTCTTAGTGTTTTCTCCATTGCCCAGGGCTGTCTGTGTCTATTAATGATGGCTCCAGTGAAATCCATGGCTTTTGCTGCACCTTATCTTTCTGCTTCCAGCACCATATTTTCCTGCTTCCTGAGAGACATGGAATCATCAGTGGTGTTCATCACCAGGCCCTGGGGGCAAGACCACACAGGTCCCAGAATCCCTGCAGTTTATCTTAATTAGGTGACATGTGGTGCTGCCTCCAGCGCACAGGTCCACTCTGGTCAGGCAGCCTGTTGCCATGCTGTGAGCCTGGGCTGTGCCCGGCCTTGTAGGCTTCTTGCAGTCACTAGTTCTGTGAGCCTTGGAGGCTCTTCCACGGGGGTGATTCTGACCCCTGGGAGTGAGGAGAGGGCCTTTCTGCAGTTCAGCCAAGAATGAAGGTGACTCAGGGGCTCAGCTCCCTCCTTCACTTCTTTTTTGTTTCCTTGAGGTTGTCCTTGGCCCTCACAGTACCTCTGTCTAGGCTTGGAGCTCTGGAAGTAGAGACAACCCTGGTCTTCTGCCCCCAAGGCCTCCTCTGTTAGCCAGAAGGATTCTGGCTGTGCAGTGGAAATGACCTCGTGCAAAGACATCATCATATGCCCTTCTAGGGGCAATAATGCCAGTGTCCCCTGATAAAGCAGTCACTGTGGGTGTCTGTCCTAGTCACTCCACACAGTCATACCATTCCTCCCTGGGACCAGCTTCATGGAGACCTCTGACAATGACAGCAGAAGCCCAGCCCAGCCCTTCTGGCCCAGATCACTGCTCATTTTGAGAACCACCTCTGCCCTCTCACTTTGTTCTCCTTCCTGGAACATCTTTCTGCATCTCTTACCCTGCCCCACACTGCACAGAACCCATTCAGACCCTGAGTTGAGTCCCCAGAAGGTCAAAGATCAAAAACCCCAGGGTGCTCTCCTCCCCTATTTCCTGCCACCATACCTCCAGGCTCCTGCCCCTCTCATGACACTTCTGGTTTTCTTTACACAGTGCTTGCTCATGACTAGGATTCCTCCTAGAAGCCTGGCAATCAGTCCACACACAGATGTCTGCTCACCCGTTCCGTCTTCCTGGGGACCAGCCATTGGTGCTTCTACCTTCCCTTTGGAGAGAGCCGGGGATGCTCAGCAAAGGAGGAGGCTGACTCATCAAGTGGTGAGAGTTCTCTGAAAGTGGTGAAGAAGGGGCCGCAGGGGCTCCTGCAGATATGGAGGATCCGCTGATGCATTTCATGGGGAGGTCATCTCATCCTGGAAGCCCTTGCACAGCATCCAGTGATGGAGAGCTCATTACCTCCAAAGGCAGCTCTGACTGGCCTTCCACTCACAATCCCATGGCTGGAGAAGTTTGCTGGTGCACATTTCAGCTCCTTCCTCTCCAGGCGTCACTTTGTCAGTACCCTTTGTCTCACACCAGACCTCCTGACACCTCCCACTTCACCCCAGGCAGCACCTCACCCTGAGGCTCAGCCTGGACAACAGCCTACCTCATCCACTGCACTTTCCTCCCCGAGAATTGGGGCCACAACAGTAGACACTGATGCTCTGCCCCATTCCCCACCAGCAGAGCTGTTCAACAAGATGCAATAGCTGGGGGAGTGAGGGTGGTGGAAGTGAGGGTCTTGGCAGGCAGGAGCAACTGAACTTTGGCTCAAAGCAAGAGCAAAGGAAACACTGAGCAGGTAGCTACTAAAGTTCCTCCCCAGGAAGAGCCTGCAGTGCCCCCTGCTGGCTGGAGGAGAGTTTGTATGCATGTTCGATTCACTCCCCTTGCTTCCTGGGCTGAGCCCTGATGACTATTCAGGTTAGAGAATCACAGGAGCAGGTAGGTCATCTTGTCCAGTGGTTTCAAAATGTGTAAAATTATAGATAGAGTTACTGGGGGCGATTTTGCATTTTGTCCATTTGACAGAGGCCTCTGAGCTGAAGGACACATGGGGAGTGAAATCCAGCCTCTATCCTGCTAACTAAGCTGTGTACCCCAGCATGCGACTGGGTCAGGCCAGAGGAGGGGCTGTCTTTTTGTTCTTCATTCACCTAGACAGTGTCCTTTTGTAATTTGCACAAAGGTGCCATACATACCAGCAGCAGCACTGACATAGAACGCTTCCTTCTAAGAGGGCGATCTTAAAGAACCAAGCTTCTTTGGCTAAAAGGGAGCTTGAAAACCGCCCAAAAGATGGGGAAACTGGGGCCCATGAAGGGGAGGGATTACCCAAAGTCATGCAGTTAATTCCAGGACAGAGCTTAGAAGCCAGATCCACTCTCTCCCATAGCAGTGTTCTTTCCACCACATTGAGTTAGTTTTCATTCTAAGTCCCTTTTGAGAAATCCTGGCTTCTCTGACCCTCCCTCTCTCAGACCCATTAACTTCCCCCTGAAATCCAGCGACTCTGCACAATCCTACTGTCCTACTCGGGATCGTGGCACAGAATTTGCCCTAAAGGAGGGATGTTGAGAATGCCAGTCCCGTCTGCATAATTTCCTACAAGTACATCACTCATAGGGATGCGGGCAGACAGGCAGAAGCACAGAACAGTGAGAAACTAGAGGGATCTACCAGAGGACGTGTCGAAGTATTTCAGGGAGCCTGGAGCAATGTGGATCAGTAAAGCTGGTGGTTCAGCTACTGTGCAGCTGGGGCCTGCTTTGCAGGTGCAGTCCGCCGGGGTGTCTGTGCCACGCCATAAGGCACATGGGCGGCCACGGTGCCCATCTCCTGAGCCCCAGCCACATGGAACATCTGGTCATCAAAGAAGATGTGTGGGCGGATCTTCTCTAGGAGGGGGCCCTTGGGCGCTCCAGCGAGGAACAAGGCTTCATCTGTCTCCAGGCCCCAGCTGCGCAGGGTCTTGAGAGCCCGGGCCCCAGAACTGGCTGCGCTGCGTGCTGTCACCAAGTAGGTACGAATTGGACACTCCAGCCGTAGGCCTTTGGAGTAGAACTTCTTCTGCAACCTACCCAGTGCCTCCAGAAAGCCCTTTAAGGGGCCCTATGAGAAGGCAAGGGGAACACTGTTAGCTCTGCCACCTCCCAAATATTTGCCCCCTGCTCTCCCTAAAGCACTAGTGTCTTGTTTGGTGTGAAAAGTTCAGGATCCCTAAATCTTTCAGTTAGTTCTGCTCATGCCTGCTTATGCTGCTGTGTGCGCCAGTGGGGCTCCAGTCAGGGGAACTGTGTTATTGCATACTGGTGCAGGGTCAGAATAACTCTCAGGGCAACTGTTGATATGTATCCTCCATCCATATGCCCATCAAGGTATACAGATGTCTGTCCTGAAGCTCTGTAAGTGTGGCCTTCGGTGCCCATCAACAGGGAGGATATTAAAACTAGTAACTATGGCATGGGCACCCTTCAATCAGAATGGACTCCAGCAGTAAACAGCTGGAGAAGATGGGCCAATGTGTAACTGTTGAGTATCAACCGTGCCCATCTGGCACCCAGGTGGCTCAGGGTGTCATCCTCAAGCTCTCTAGGGTCAGGGAAAGAATTTATTCTCTACAGTGCCCAGAACAATGAAGCTTCCTGAGGATGTGAGAATAAAAAAGCAGACGACAATGAAGAAAACTGCTTATTTCCAAAGCAGCTAGAAATAAACAAAAGGGGGCTCTTCGTCTTGGAGACCTCTTGCTTGCTAGGTGAACTGGAATAAGCAGTGGTCTCCTGGGCCTCTGCTTGCCACTTAGTAGGATAACTCTCCTGCCCTGGATTCCCAAGGATTTCAGAGGCAACTCACAAGAACAGATGTGAACTGAATATTTAGGAGCCACAACTGAAACCTGCTGAGCTCTTGGAGCGAGGGGCTCTGAGATTATTGAGCACCCAGATTTTTGTTAAAAGCTCAAATAGGAGCTCGCAGCAGAGCTGGAGAATCCAAAAGCCCCAACTCCAGGGAGTTTCCACCAAGCTCTAGGGTATATTCTATTCTGAGAGACACTGAGCAGTTTGAGGGTGAGTGAGTGTCCCTGTGCCCCCAGCTAAGGGATGGATGGCAGGAGGTGTCCCAAAGCAAATGGTCTGCCCCAGATGCCACACCCAGCTGGATCTCCCTGCCCCAGTGAGGCGTCCCAGTCCAGCAGTTCATTTCCTCCTGTTTCCAGGGAGGGAAACAGGCTTCTTAAGAGGGTGGGCATGCTCTCAGAGGGGTGGGGGAACTCAGGGGAGGAAGTGAGGGTTCCAGAGAGAGGATGGGAGCTTCAGAGAAACAGAATGAGGCCTTCAGAGCAGGGCAGGGACTTCAGAGAAGGGGTGGGGATGTAGAGAATGGGGACATCAGGCAGGGAAAGGAGACCTCAGAAATGGGGATTTGAGCTGCAGAGAGTGGGTTTGGGCTTAGAGAAAGGCTTAGAGAATGGAGGCTTCAGAGGGCGGTTGGGACTTCAGTGAGGGGATGTGGGCTCAACAAAGTGGGTGGAAGCTCATTGATGGGGGGCCAGTGGTCAAGTGAGAGGGTTGAGGGAACCGGGCTGGAATCTGGGCTGAGCCTGGGGTTTGTTTGGTTCCGGGCTGGGAGTGCAGGCCAAGGGCGGATCTGGGGAGCTGCCTTGTTCCTCTCAGGGATTCTCGGTCTATATGGAGCACCTGAGCCAGAGGTTTGTTCTCGTGGGCCTTCTCATGCTCGAAGAATCGGTCCAGCCCGTGGGCCTTGACAATGCGCTCCGACTCGTCCGAGAAGAGCACAGCGTCCCCGTCGAAGGCCACGCGCAGCTGACTCTGGGACACAACCACGTCCCTGCTGGGGCTGAAGATGGTGGCAGCTGCGATCCCTAGGCAGAGAGAGGCAAGCATTGTCTGCCTTCAGGCTGGGCAGTAGGGCCAGAGCGGGCTAACTTAGGCTGTCCTTGCCCCACCTGCCTCATATGGGACTCAGGGCAAGGCTGATAAAAACTAATATTTAAAACATGTGAAAACTGGTAGTGCATGGATCCTGGCCACGAAGAGGGCAGCAGCAGTGGCTCTGAAGCAGATCTCTAGGGCCCTTGCCTTGCCAGGTTACCCTGTTGGTTATTGCTTTGTGGAAAAGTCTGGGAGGAGTCCCGGGGGGCAGGAGGGCACTCAGGACTCAGGGCAGGAACTATTTACCAACCAGTGTGAAGCAATTTTGATACTTGAACCCCTAGTAAGATCATGCTGCTGTGGACCAGCCAAACATGAGTCCCACCAGCCACTGCCTTCCTGCCAGGGGTGTTTACAACCTCTGCTGTAGACCTACACTGGGGCTGGAAGGAGCCCCAACTCTGGCTTGGCCTCAGTCACTCCCTTACCATTGGTTCTAGCAAGTCACTCACCTTCTCTGGACCACTGTAAAATTAAGGGCCTCTCATCTCTGGGGCTGAGACTATAGGCTGCAATCGGGTGAGGTGAGTACGGGCACCCTCAGTCTACAGCCACGATGACACCCAGGTACGCCCTACTGGCAGCTGTTCAGGGTTCCAAAAAACAACCTAGGTGGCCCTGGGAGACAGCACAAGTGATGGCTAGTTGTGTGCACAAACTCTCTGCAACCCCGGGCTCCTCCAGGGATCCAAGGATGCCTCTCAGGGGTTCAGGCTCCAGGCTAGAGCTGCACTAGATGGCAGAAAGCCAGTGCTGGGAGGCTGGAGACCTGGGCTGCTAGCTGAGCCCATTCCCTAGTCTCCCTCTCTTCAAAGACCACTTCAGCCCAACTCTTTGAGAACTGAGGATCACAGAGGCTGGGCTTAGGTGAGCTTTGGGAGGAGTGAGCAGTGCTACCCGCACACAACTTCACTAGCCTGAGGATGCTACAAGCAGGGCCAGTGCCAGGCATCAAGCCAAGCACCTTCTCAGCTCTGCCAGCACTGGAACCAAGATGATCCAGAACCACCCCTACCCTCAGCAGGGCCTCCCTGTGGACCACTATCTTGCTCCTTAGCCTGAGGTCAAGTTACAAACACACAGAGGCACACCTACATGCCAGTGCCAAGGCCCCAACCAGAGGGTGTGACATCTGTCTAGGAAAATGGCTCCTGGTTCCTGGTTAAAGAAAGCCTCTAGGAGCTCCAAAGCAGCTCAGGGGAGTGAGTTATCAGGGGGAGAGAGACCAGGCTTCCAGGCAGCAGGCAACATGAAAGAGGAAGAGAAAAGTGAATATATTGTTGGTTGATAAAGAAACTTGCCACTAGTGTTCAGCTTAAGGAGCCCTCTCAGGCAGCTGGCCAGTCCTTTCTCCTGTATGGGCCTGTTTTCTCCCACCTGCAATAGGATATGCACCTCGTTGGGAGGACTGAGAATATGGATACCACCCAAAACTGCCCCTGGAAAGACACACACATACTATCCTGGCTAACATGGTAGAACACTGTCTCTACTAAAAATACAAAAAATTAGCTGGACATGGTGGCGGACGCCTATAGTTCCAGCTACTCGGAGGCTGAAGGGGGAGAATGGCGTGAACCCAGGAGGCAGAGCTTGCAGAGAGCCGAGATCACGCCACTGCACTCCAGCCTGGGAGACAGTGAGATTCCGTCTCAGAAATAAAAAAATAAAAAAATAAAAATAAAAATAAAAATAAAAATAAAAAAATAATAAAAAAGACTTTTTTTAATATATAGAAGGACATTCTCTTTGTCAGTACTTGCATCTGGGTCTCCTAAACTCCCCTAAGCACTGGCCAGCCCAGCTGCTGGAGATGATGGCCATTCCCCAGACCCTACCATTCAGGCTGGACTAGATACGAATCCTCCTCCCCATTGGCCCAGGACGGGGCAGGGGCTGCCTATGGTTCTACAGGAATCAGAACTCCTTCTGACTTGGAGAAATCATGGAAGAAGGTAGCTGTCTGGGCTGTAGAGAGGGTTTCCATGGAAACAGAAAGCTGGGTGATGCTGAGAAGTAAAAGCATCCATGACACAGTAGGGCCAGAGGTAGGAAGATGGAATGGGTAGGGCCTTGCTTTCAGAACTTATAGGACAGATTATAAGAATTAAGGAAAGTATTGCCTAGCCTTGCCTTCTAGTTACCATGGCAACTCCCAGCACCTGCTCAGAACTTTAGGACCAGGCCTTCCACCTCAGGGACCCCTTTGCTGCACTCCCCATATTCTCCCTCCTCACTTGGACTTACCTTCATCAATGGCTTCTCGCACTTTTTCCGCATCGGCTGACAAGTAGAGGTTGGTGTGATAGGCCTTGAGATAGCAGATGGGGCTGTTCCCACCTGTCATGCAGAACCTCTCGATGAACAGGTCTGGGAAGGAGGTAAAGGACCCAGATGAGGCCAGGGTCAACCCTGGGCTTCTCTCTGTGTCCAGTGGACGCCATCCTAGTTCTGGGTGTGGTACGGCAGCACAGAGTGTCTCTGTGTGATTTTAGGCCAGTGTTCCCTTCTGAGCCCCTCCATCCTTCATGAAGTGCGGACAATCACATCTCTAGAGCAATTGCCCAGCTCACAGGGACAGTCTCTTGTCAAGGAATCACAGTGCTACATGCTTGTGTGACCCCGCCTCCTGGTCACAGCTGATTGGATAAGAGCAGACACCTGACCCAAGCTGAGCCAATCTGATTACCTAGGCTGCCAGTCCGCTGGTCCTCATGACTGCAAAAGTTGTAAAGTATTTGTTGGTTGATAAACTGGCTGCTGCTCTGAGCCCATTTAAGTTACCCGTCACTCTCGCAGCCCCTTACCCAGGACCTCTGTCCTCCCCAGAGTCCACAACAGAAGGTGGTAATGCCTGGTATGGCAGGGGTCCTTCAGAGCCCTGCTTCAGCACTGTAGGGAGGGTCTGTCCTGATTACGGAGTGTGGATGTCACACAGGTGGTTAAAAATTTTTAATATCAATCCTGCTCCCAGCAATTTGAAATTAGGATTTAAAAATGCCTACTAGACTCTTTTGGTTGCTAAAAACCAGGCCTTGTAAACCTATAAATACAGGTGTATTCTTTTTTTTTTTTTTTATTTAACAGAGTCTCGCTCTGCCGCTCAGGCTGGAGTGCAGTGGCGTGATCTCGGCTCACTGCAAGCTCTGCCTCCCGGGTTCACGCCATCCTCCTGCCTCAGCCTCTCGAGTAACTGGGGCTACAGGTGCCCACCACCACACCCGGCTAATTTTTTTGTATTTTTAGTAGGGACAGGGTTTCACCGTGTTAGCCAGGATGGTCGCAATCTCCTGACTTCGTGATCTGCACGCCTCGGCCTCCCAAAGTGCTGGGATTACAGGCACGAGCCACCGAGCCCTGCCAGGTGTATTATTTTTCTGTCTCTCTCTCTCTCCCCAAAGTGGATCTCCCCTCCCCTCTCCTCCCCTCCCCTCTCCTCCCCTCCCCTCCCCTCTCCTCTTCTCTCCTTTCCTCTCCTCTCCAGTGATTCTCTTGGCTCAACCTCCTGAGTAGCTGGAATTACAGGTGTGCACCACCACGCCAGGCTAATTTTTGTATTTTTAGTAGAGACAGGGTTTTACCATATTAGCCAAGCTGGTCTTGACCTCCTGACCTCAAGTGTTCCACCTGCCCTGGCCTCCCAAAGTGCTGGGATTACAGGAATGAGCCACCGCGCCTGGCCCAGTTTTCTTGAATATGGTTTTTATTTAGGAAAAGCAGAGAAATCCAATTTCAGGGGAGAGAGGAAAAAAAAAAAAGAGCAAACTTGCTAGAGAAGCACAAATAAATGTTCATGTGGCCTGAAGAAAAGAAGATCCTGGGAGAGATTTCCAGTACTTGGATTCAGGCCTTTGTAGGCCCAATTTTATTTCCTGTCTTCTGAAAGACACCCCTGTAACCTAATAAGAAATTCTCCTGGGCTTAAGCTAGCTCTGGAGGGTCTATTATTTTTAACCTTGAGTTTAGACTAAGACGCAAAGCCCTTTCGCTCTGACAGCTGCACCTGATTCTCCCAGTAGCCTTGTGAGACCTGTTAGCCCCATCACAGTTAGAGAAACTGAGGCAGGGAGGCAGTAAGTGTCCCACCTAATCACACTGAGAGTGGGGCGTGCTGGAGGTGACTTGGACAGGCTTGCAAGAGCCCACAGTTAAACACTCAGAAATTTTGTGAGCCATTTGTATTGTTTAACCACTGATAGCTTGAAACCAGTCCTGGTGGAAATATTTACACCCTGAAAACTAGCAACACTACAAATCAGGGTTTTGTTTGTTTGTTTAAACAGCGAATTTACCAGCACACACTGGGCTTGGGGCTCCCGTTAGTACAACTCCATCCTGCAGAGGTGTGGCCCCATCCCTGGGGGTCTGGTAGGGGTGTCCCAGGGCAAACCCCCCATCCTCATGCTCATGCTCACCATAGTGGTTGATACTGTTGATGAGGCGGACACCCACTTGAGCATGGTTGTTGGTCATGAGGACAATGTCGAAGACGTCCTCACTATCGGGGTACAGCTCCCGCAGCCGCCTGTTCACAGCCTCCAGAGCCTAGAAGGGAGAGGGCACCCCCCAGCTTAGACCCCCAAGGATTGATACCTGAAGTTGGTGGCCAAGGATCCAATGAGGGGAGGGGAGGAGCCATGCTTGGGATGAGATCAGTGCTCATGAACTACCTTCTCCTAATGCAAGTTGCTTACCGCTCAGGGGTACCTAGCTGGAGAGAGTCGGGGGTGAAATCCAGCCCGCATTCCACTCACCAAGCTGGTTACCAGGCGTGGGGCTGCGTTCTTCTAGAGGGTGGACGAATTTTCTTCCCAAAAGGCTCGTCACCTAGCCAAGCTGTGCACCCGTGTGGTTACATCTGCCAAGAGGGGCCCTTTTTCCTTACTCAAATACCTGTGGGAGTGCTTTGTTCTAATCCCCACAAAGGCGCTGTATGAGCTAGTGGTGGAACTGCCCCCTCACCTTCACGAACGGGAAGGCAGGCCCGGGACTGAAGGGCTCGTTCTCATGTTCCAGCTGGTAGCGCACATACTCCTCCACGCCCTGCTCCGTGTAGATCCGCTGCTCCTCGTCCATGCGAAACAAGGCTCGGGAGGACACAGCGATGGTGACTGCATTCTGAGGCTTGGGCTGCAGAGGTATGGGAGAAGGGGCTGTTACTCAGACGACTGCTCCTGAGGCAGGCTCACATGTATGAGTCTCCCTGGGTAGTGGGGACATGGAGAAGACCCAGACCCAGCCTGTACCCTAAAGTGGCCCAGCTTGAGCAGATGTGGACTTAGGTCAGGACCCCACCTATGACGGACCCAGATGGGGGTTGAGAGAGGTGCTGGCTCTCTTGCTGGAAGCACAATCTGATGGAGGGAGGACCATGCCCTTGGAAGTTTGCAATCTAGTCGGGCATCTGGACACAACAAAAAAATGAAGCCAATATATGTGACCAAAGTATGACTGATGCTGGAGATGATCTCAGATGGTTTCCATTATAAAATAAGAGCTGCATGCCCTTAGGAAGAAATGGTGTCCATAAACATGACAATTTATATTAAAAAAGTATCTCCAGCCCAGATCTGTCTCCTGAGCTCCAGATTCATACATCCATCTAACTGCCCCAGCTGACTAACAGCCTCTCAAAGTTAACATTTCCAAGGCTGAATTCCCATCACCTTCTCCCCTCCCAAACCTGATCCCTTCTCCCTGTAACTCTTAGCAAGGCTTAGAACCACTATCCACTCATTACTGAAGCAGAAACTGGGAAGTCAGCCTCAACTCCCTTCCTCATCAATCAATCACTGAAATGAGTCAACTCTACTAGAATCCACCCACTTCTTTCATTCAGGCTGTTCTGGTCATCTGTCGCCTTCCCTAATCTGTCATTCATGCTGCTGTCAGGAGATTTTCTAAAGTTCGGATCTGACCACAGCTCCCCTCTTTAGTGGTGCATGCTATTCTCAGAATATGGTTGAGCCTCTAGTGTGGGAATAGAAAGCCCTTCACAACAGACTCTTACTTCTCTTTCCATTCCCCTCTTCCCATCCCCCAGCTTTGCCCCATCTGACCTTTGTCACATCAGAGCATACTTTCCCCCTCTTTTTTTTTTTTTTTTTTTTTTGGATGGGGTTTCACTCTTTTTCCCCACGCTGGAGTGCAGTGGCGTGATCTCAGGTCACTGCAACCTCTGCCTCTTGAGTTTGAGCGATTCTCCTGCCTCAGCCTCCCAAGTAACTGGGACTACAGGCACCCGCCACCCCAGACAGCAGCTGAACCTTTATAGTCCCTTAGGAGGATCAGAGTATGAGTGCCCAAGGAACTTACAGATACCCAGAGAATCCCACCACATCTCTGTGTCCTAAGCAGTCCTGGGGTCATGATTCCCACTTTACAAATTAAAAATGAGGGGCTCAAATTGAAGTCAAGGTTCATAAATGCACCTCTCATTCTCACCTCTCCTGATCACCCATGGGTCGTGTACTCAACTCTATTGCTTCTTTCTGGGGGCAGTCCTGGGCTCCAATCAGTTGACAACATTGAGTGGTTGCCATCTGAGAGACACTGTGGTGGACATGGCAGGAAACAACACAAGTGTGATCCCTGTCCCCATGGAGCTCAAGATCCACCCCCAAGACAGAGGCCAATGACATCTTTTAAAAGAGCACTGTCCAATGGAACTTTCTATGATAATGGAAATATTCCATAATCTGTGCTGTCCCTGTGGCTATGGAACAATTTGAAATGTGACTAATGAGACCGAAGAGCTGAATTTTAGATTTTATTTCATTTAAATGAACTTAAACAGCTATATGTGGCTAGTGGTTAATGCAGCTTTAGAACCTTACAATGGGAGTGGAAGGCAAAAGAGTTCCCCAAGGTCTCGTGGTAGACTTTCTGCATTTGACTTTTAACCCCAGCCAAGATGGTATATGTGGCCAGCAAGGTCTGTGTAAGGCAGTGGCAGGACAGGTGCTTCTTGGAGGTTCAACCCAAATACCTTTCTCAGTTGCTGACTACCACCATGTGTGTGTCCTAAGGGCAGGGTTGGTGGTGGAGTGGGGAGACCCACCCTCATAAACCCTGGAAGCCTGGAGGCCTTTGGAACAGGAGCTGAGCTTGCTCCACCCCTTGGGCTTACTGCCCCAGGGACAAGGCCATCACCCCTTTAAGGACAGAGAGTCAGCTGCCCTCCCAGCCCCATTAGGCAGGTTCCCAAGCCTGCCACTCCAGCCCTAGCAGCCAGCCAAGGTCTCACTCCTCACTTTCTGTCCCACAGTCCTTGCCAGACTGCCAAGTCCTGGGATCCCTCTGGCTGAGCTACTTAGACAGACCCCAATCCGTCCCACCCCTGGCTGTTTCAAGAAAAACGTCCTGGCTACATTGGCCCCAAGAAGCCTCTGCTTCTCTCTTTTCCAGATAGGAAAACAGGCCCAGAAAGGGGCAGATTATCACTCTAGGTCAAGGCAGAGCAAGATGAGATCTCAAGTCTCCAGCCTCTAGCCTGACCTCTATCCACACTGCAGTCCCCTTGCCATTCCCCTCCTCAACAACTCCCAGAAGACCCCATCCCTTGCTACTTCTGCCTTCCCTAGAAACATCTCCCCCAGCCTTCACTTTCCAGATTTGGCAGAAATGATCAGGGCATGCCCACAAACGGAGGTTTCTAATGGCTGGTCTCTGTTTCCTGTCAGAATGGGGGTCCCAAGGGCAGGACTCTGCATCCCCACTTAGACTGCTGTGACACAGTACAAGTGAGGTGGCGTCTAAGATCCCAGAGGCCATGACTGTGTAAGAAATATGGATCCCAGCTGGGATTGATGAATGATCTGTCCAGGCTCCAGGTGGAGCTGAAGGAGCAGGTGAAAGGGGCTGGCCAGAGCTGGGGAGAAGTCATGGGTGTAGAAACCCTCCTGGGCCTGGCCGCAGAGGTGGCCATGGGTTGGCAGGGGCATCTAGGAACAGTACTTCTAGAGAGCAGAAAGAAGCCCTGATCTCAGACTGGGAATTGGGTCAGAGTGACTCAAGGGCTCAGTCTGGGAGCTCGGAGCTCCAAGAAACCAGGGTCCTGGCAGCTCTCTCTGCCTTCCAGGCTCAGGCTGAGGGCTGCGGCTAGGGATGGGAATGGAAGAATAACAGAGGGCAGCCCACTCCCACTTGGCCTGCCTGAGGAGCTCCCATTTAGGCTAACGTAATTCTGCCTATTGGGTCCAAGATAGAAACATAGGCAAAAAGCTGTTATTCCTAGTAGGACTTAGAGAGGGAAAGGTTGCTGAAGGAGAGACGGACAGCAGAGTACTGGATTGAAGAAGTGCTGTGACCCCATGAGGTGAGGGCCTCTAACAAGCCTTCAGGCGTTAAATATTTTACTCAGGCCCCTGGGAATGAGAATTAGCCCAGGCCAGGCCATGATGGGGCCCATGAGGCCTAAAGCCCCCAAAATAGCCTGTGGGAAGAGGGGCTTCTGCAGGAAGGAATAGGAGCTGGGAAGTCTCCAGGCTTCTTGCCTCCCAGAGAACCGTGAGAGTCAGGGGCTGACCCAGGGGTCATGACTGACAACTGGGACTGAGCTCTCCGGTTCCTTGGTGCCTGGGGAGGAAATGGATTTTGATCACTGACGCTTTCACTACCCCAGTCCTCAAGTCTCCATCCCTTCCCCTCCATCACTCAGGCCACAGCATTGACATTCATCCAGCTTCCTCTTCAGAAGGCACTAGCCTTCTTACTGGTGGGTTTGCTGCCAGACTCACCCTTTCCAATCCATCCCAGAGTGATCTTTCTAAAATAAAAATGGGACCCAGTTAGTCCCCTGACGAAAAATCCTGTAATAGCTCCATAATGGTATTCATATGTTTTTTAAAATGTGGGTAGAGCTTTTATTTAAATGAATTCAAATGAACTTTGAATTCAATATGTAAGCCAGATATTACCATATATCTCATACCATGTGGTACCAGATATAACACATATAATTGGTGTATATTTATTTATTCAAATGCATTACATTTATTTATTTATTATAAAGTCAACCAATGAAAACCACACAGTTGTTTGCATGACAACAAATTTGAAACTAGAGGTTAGAATGCCAGTGCAGACTTAAGCTTCAGCATCCAGCCAAGTTTTTGCTGTGTTTGTATTTGTACACTATTGAGAAAGTCCTGATTCAGACCAATAAGTGGTTGGAAATGCTAAAAGGTTTTTTGTTTTGTTTTGTTTTAAACTACAGGCCTTGCAATCTCAAGATGCTCTTTGATGAAATAGATCACAGGGGAAGCCTTATTCTGAGGTTTGCTTAAAAAAATCTGCAGCACAAGCTAGTGGCCTTTAAGCTGCTAAAATGTCCACCTAATACATTAGAGTGAGTTGGGTTTTATTCCACATTTTTAATTGTTTAAAACATAGTCTGAAGAAGAAAGAAAATAATTTGGATTCCCATGTGTGTAGACTCCCTGAAACACAGGACTTGGGGAAGCTAGTTTGGAAATCCCTGACCTCCTTGAGTAAGATCCAGACTCCTTAACATGATCCCCAAGGCCCTCTGTGGGCTCTTCCACATCCCTCCAGCTCTTCTCCCAACAATCCTGCATTCTTCATTCAGAACTGACTCAGGAACACAGTCTTGAGCTTCAGAGACATCTGCATGACTTCTGCCTGTCCTGTTTCCCTCTCTCTGGGAAACTCCAGCTACTCAGGCTTTAAGATCAGGATACATGCCACTTCTACAAAGCTTTCCCCAGTGTGACATCACTACTCCACTCCCCTGCAACTCCCCCAGGCTCTCATCTCTGGAGCCTCCATCAGTGTGCAAGCTTGAGCAGAGCTTGGAGGTGCTAAATGAATGATTGCTGATAGGGTGGACCTCTTGGGGAAGGGTCCTTGGAGGGAAGCAGCAAGTTGCTTTAAGATCAAGCTGGAGCTCTTCGGAGGACTGCTGTGGGCCAACCTCTATTCTCAGTTCTCTCCTCAAGCTCTGCCATCTGGGAAGCTGGAGACAGCAAGGCCCAGGGGCAGACCAGGGAATCATCAACTTGTTTGATGGGGGAGAGGAGAGAGCTCCTCTGTGTGAGGTCCCAGACGGCTGACACCACCACGGGGTCGTGGAGATGTTAATGTCCACTTCAAGGGGAGCAGAAGCCGAGCTGAGGGGCAGAGTCCAGCGCTGGGAGCCTGCAGCCAGGGGCGCCGATCGCCTCCCAGCACAGAGTGTGGATCCCAGTGCCTGGGGAGAGCAACTCCCTTTCCTTAGGACGTGGGGAGCGCACTGCCCCCAGCCCAGGGCCCAGGGCCCAGAGCCAGACTCCCAACGCAGAGTCTCAGGTCCGGAGCCCGATGCTCAGGTGGCGGAGACCAGAGCGCACAGCCAGGAACTGGGTTCCCGAGTCTGGTTACCCGCGCCTGGGGCGCTTCTGCAAGCGCTGCCGACCGGCTTCGCCAACAAGTGCAATCCGCGCTCCCCGGCGGCCCGCGCGGGGAGGGGCTAGGGCTGCAGGCCTCTAGCTGGGCCCTGATGACAGCATGGGGGAGGGGGATCCTGGCGTGGAACCCGAGTCCCGGTAAAAAATACACCAGAGCAGAGCTCCCAAAATAAATCCGAGCCCGCGCCAGCTGCCAGGCGCATTCTGGGGCTGAGGAGCTGCGTCCCCTCCCAGAGGGGCGCCACGGGTCCCTTCCCAAGAGACTTATGACCCCTCCTCCGGGGTAACCCTTCCCCCGTCCCGCGCATACCCGTGCATTGCTTTTACCGATTTGGGTTTCTTCTTGGGCGCGAGGTTGTCGTAGAAAATCTTGGCTTCCTCCCAGACCTGGGCCGCAGCGGTCTCCGCTCCTGGCCCGGGCTCGCGGGGCTCCTGGGGCTCCTGGGGCTCTCCAGGTTCCATGCTCCGGCTCTGACCGGCCCGGCCAGAGCAGGCGGCGGCGTAGACGCGGAGCTGGCTGAGCTGGGCTGCAGGAGGGAGGCGAGTCCCTGCGAGGGAAGGGGGCGGGCAGCGGCGGGGAGGCTGTGCGTGTGAGCTGGGCTCCCCGCCCGCCGGGTGGGGGGAGGTAACACTCGCCCTCTCGGTCGCCCGTGTGTCGCTGCCGCTGCTGCTGCTACTGCCGTACGGTATGAGGAATAACTGGGCTCTCCTTCCCCGACCGACCCACGCCCGAAGCCGGTTGGGTGGTGAGGAGGGCTCTCTGGCTCTCTGCGTTTGTGGGCTGCAGCGGATTTGGGATTGCGAAAATGGTGTTCTTCGCAGGCGCTGAAGGGCGCGGAGAGAGGAGAAGCCTGACAACTTTCCCCCCCCCCCCCCCAGGATAGTGATCCCCAAACGAGAAAATGAAAAGCTAGTCGTCCCCCTCCCAAAAGCTAGCCGCCCATCTTTTCTTTAGGAGCCAGGACCCTGGGATCCTGACGATGTCCCCTTTCCTCCGAAGCCAGTCCATCCCGCAGGCGGGCAGGAGGTGATACACGGATAGCTCCGACCACTAGCAGAAGCCTGCTCCCAGCGGGAGCTCAGTGAAGGGCCCAGCCCGGCAGCTCGTCCACACCACCTAGGAGGGGCCCTCGAAGTCCATGTCGAGACCAGGCTCCCCTTGACCTGGGGTGGGGACCCCGAGAGACTCCCAGGGACTCTGAACAGGAATTCTTGCTGGCCCTTTGGTGGTCAGCAGGGGGCGCGCATTCCCAGGCCCCCACCTGCCCAGCTTGGAGTGATTAGTTACAGGCCATGAAGGGGCTGGATAGAGGGAGGGCAGAAGAGCGGCCTCGGAACTAACATCCTGGAATTCCAGGGTGTTGTCCCTCTTGATGCAGAGCTCTGTAATAGTCTCGGGGTGCAGACACAAATGTCACCCATCCCAAGGCACAGACCAGGAAGCAGGCAAGTAGCCTCTCTCAGAGGTGTGCATGGCTGGGTGGGAGACGCAGGAGAAAACACTGGCTTAGCTAGGAGGGCCTCTGACTGGGGAGGTGATGGGGCTACAGAATGGAGTGATCCCCCCAGCCTCCACCAGGTCCTGGGAGGAACAAACCAAACCTTGTGTGGAAGGGGAAAAAATCATAATAAAATGTTAGGATTAGGGGGGAAATGTGTTTAGATTTACTTCTAGGCTTAGTAGATTGTTTCCAGAGATGACCCAAAAAACTTCTTCCATCCTGCCTGTCCTTTGGCAATGTGACTTTGACACTCCTCCCATTCAGAGGTAGAGTCCAGTCTGAGCTGGCCTGTGACTTGCTTTGACCCATTGAACAGAGTAGAAGTGGTGCTGTGTGGTTTCCAAGCTTATGTCTTAAGAGGCCTTGCAGATTCCATTTTTGCCCTCTTGGGAGCCGGCTACTATGTAAAGATGCCCGGACTATCCTGCTGGAAAAGCCACATAGTGAGACAGAGAGGACCTGGAGGATAAGAAGCTAGCAACAGCCCAGGTGACTATAGGCACAACTGGCAGACATGTGAATGAGGCCTTCCTGGCTGTCCCAGCCCCAGCTCAGCTCCCAGTGGAGTGCAGCTATGTGGACAACGCCAACCAACACAATATGAAGCGGTAAAACCTTCCAACTGAGCCCAGCCAACTCACAAAATCATCAAAAATAATAAATTGTTGTTTCAGGCACTAAGTTTTGGGGCAGTTTGCTACACTGCAATAAATAATTAAAACTCTAGGAATGGGGTCAGTCATTCTCAGGTGCCTCATGGAGGAGAATGATGAAGTCACTCAGGAAGAATGTATAGAGTGGTTACTTGGATGGAGGTGAGCACTGGACACAAAAGTGAGCCACCCCCATGCTGTCCAGTGGCCTTTAATCTGTGTGATTGGCTTGAAAAGATGACCTGGGCCAATCAGATTTCTCTTTCTCAGGAATTTGGAATTGGGAAACGGGCTAGGCAGTCAACCATTGGAATAGAAGCTGAAGATGCTATGAAATACAGTTGGCTCCCAGGAAACCTGGGTGAGCCTCAGCAGACTGCAGTTATGTGCAATGTAAAGCTCAGTGCAGGTGGAAACTCTCTGAGCAGAATGAGCTGAGCAGCAGATCAAGATGAGCAGCAGATCAGGATGTGCAGAGCGTAGCACATGAGAGAAACCATACTACCCTGAGATGGAGCCACCTCTGGTCCTGACAGCTTCCCAAGTTCTAGCTAAGGCCTGGCTCTGGTGCCCTACACTTTCATGAGATTTTCCACATTGTTTCAACAAATGCCCCCAAAAGGAAATTTGGTGGCTAGTGGTTTTGCTTGAGTAATCACTTTTCCCGGCCTCTCTTTCTAATAAAAAGCCCCGCCTCCCTGGTTCTCTGGTCAAGAAGTAGGCTTGTGACTGAGACCTGACCAGTGGCGGGGAGCCCTGTGTCCGTGGACACAGGGATGAGCATGTGACCCCAGGTTGAGACACTCTTCACTCTTATTTAGGGCTGCTGGGAGGTTTGGCTCTTTTTCTCTGAGGTTGTTAATTTGGGGCAATGTGAGCTGGGAACCCTTTTGGCAGCTGAAAGAACATGGAGGAAGCACATCTGGAAGGACAATGGTGCCACAGAGAGAGAAGCAGGAGGCGGGACGGAGAGAGGATGCAACTGAGTTTCTGGACCCAGCCATGCCTGAACTTCCCAATTACATGAGCCAATAAGCCTCCCTTTTTGCTTAAGCTTGTGTGAGTTGGATTTTGTTCACTTGCAACCAAAAGTCCCAACTAATCCATTCCCCTGTACTCACCCTGCCATGAGTAGGCACTGTTCCTTGCCATCAAGGAATCCTGCCCACAATCCTGGTTCAGTCCCTTTAAGAACTTTCCCTGGGCCGGGCACAGTGGCTCACACCTGTAATCCCAGCACTTTGGGAGGCTGAGGTGGGCAGATCACGAGGTCAGGAGTTCAAGACCAGCCTGACCAATATGGTGAAACCTCATCTCTACTAAAAATACGAAAATTAAAACTGCGTATGGTGGGGCACGCTTGTAATCCCAGCTACTCAGGAGGCTGAGTCAGGAGGATCGCATGAACCCAGGAGGCAGAGGTTGCAGTGGACTGAGATCGTGCCACTGTACTCCAGTCTGGGTGACAGAGCGAGACTCTAAAAAAAATAAAAAAAATAAAAAAACTTTCCCCAGATCCTTCTTTGGAAGGATTAGAGAACTTGATCCTCAACTGTTCTTTCCACCCTTCCAGGCTTCTGGCTATGCTCTCTGGCTTGCCTGTCACTCCCTAAAGCTGGCTGGGTGCAGGGCTTCCCTGGCTCAGGGTTTTTGGACTCCAGCCAGGACCTTGCCTCTAGGTCCAGCACTTCTTCAGATGAATAAGCTGGGAACAGGCCCCTTAGGGCACGACTCCAGGAGCCCCATACCTGGCTGCTCCCTTAGACAGCCCTGCTCCAGCATGCCTGGCCCTGTTGGCTAACGTTTAGTAAGACCCCAGGGCAGATGCCACCTCCTCCATGAAGCCATGGCTGCCCTTTACTCTTTATCTATTCCTCACCTCTCCCCAGTTAGGTAAGATGCTTCCTCCTCTGAAGCTCAGAGCTGATGGTGTTTTTTGTTTTTTTGTTTGTTTGTTTTTGAGACAGAGTCTCACTCTGTTGCCCAGGCTGGAGTGCAGTGGCGTGATCTCGGCTCACTGTAAGCTCCGAGTCCTGGGTTCACGCCATTCTCCTGCCTCAGCCTCCTGAGCAGCCTGGACTGCAGGCGCCCGACACCACGCCTATTTTTTTGTATTTTTAGTAGAGACGGGTTTCACCGTATTAGCCAGGATGGTCTCAATCTTCTGACCTCATGATCCACCTGCCTGGGCCTCCCAAAGTGCTGAGATTACAGGCATGAGCCACCGCACCCAGCCAGTTTTTTAAAATCTCTTTTCACATTCTGACTTGGATTCACTCCCATGGCTGAGAAGCCACAACAAGCAGTGGCCTTGATGTTTGGAGACCTGAGATCGGGTCCCAGCTTTACCATTCTCTGGGTCTTTGTTTTCTTGTCTTAAAAAAAAAAAAAAAAAAAAAAGCATGGCTGGGTGTGGTGGCTCACACACCTGTAATCCCAGAACTTTGGGAGACTGAGGTGGGTTGATCACCTCAAGTCGGCAGTTTGTGATCAACCTGACCAAAATGGAGAAACCCCGTCTCTACTAAAAATACAAAAACAAACAAACAAACAAACAAACAAACAAAAACAGCCAGGGCCGTGGCGAGATGAGCTGAGATGGCACCACTGCACTCCAGCCTGAGCAACAGAGTGAGACTCCGTCTGAAAAAAAAAAAAATACAAAATACAAAATACAAAATTAGCCAGGTATAGTGGCTCACGCCTGTAATCCCAGCTACTCGGGAGGATGAGGCAGGAGAATCGCTTGAACCCAGGAGGCAGAGGTTGCGGTGAGCCGATGTCATGCCATTGCACTCCAGCCTGGGCAACAAGAGCGAAACTCTGTCTCAAAAAAAAAAAAAAAAAAAAAGAGAGAAACTTAAATGTGTGCTTGGCTCAGCCAACAGCAGATCACATGGGAAGTGTTTGTTGACTGTGAGGGACTGTGTACATGTGAAGGGCTAATTGTTAGAGAGTTGGGAGGGCTTCACAGAGGAGGAGATAATTGAGACAGGGGAATGGGTGACCCAGGGAGGAGCAATGGCTTGTGCACAACACAAAAGCATAAGGGACCCCTTAGGAAATGGAGGCCATTCAGAATGGCTTAGTGCAGGGTGCAGGATGGAAAAGTGAGAGGAAGAAAAAGCCTTCTGAGATCGATTGGTGCCAGGTCATGCGGGACCTGAAGGGATATTTAAGGAGCAAATCACACAGAGGGGCAAGGGGAGCCTTTGAAGAGCTGACATGGTTAGATTTGTGCTTTAGGAAGATCACTGTGGCTTCTTAGTGGCAGCTAGATGGGGCAGAGGGCAAGGCTGAAAGTAGGAGGTGGACTAATTTGGCTGGATTAGAGATTATGGGGACCTGAGTGGGCAGGTTTTGGGAGAAGGCAACAGAGGACCTGCATGCCCAAAGTAGACGGGGGACAGGACTTCCCATCCCCCAGCGTGGCCTCAGCTGGGAATAGCAGCCCCAAGTTCTCAGGCTTCTGAGTCACCTCCTTAGTTAGGTTCATGGTTGCCCCGAGGCCAGGTCAGCCTCCTTCCTCTGTGCTAATTGCTTCCTGCCAAGGGAGCTGGCCACCTCCAAGCGTCCTTGAGGCAACCCTTATAGAAGCAATTGAACATTTCAGGAGAAGGCAGGCAGCTCCAGCCACCACTGCCCCCAACTCTCTGCAGGGAACAGTGCTTCTTGGGCTGTCAGGGGACATTC